TATATATATATATATATATATATATATCCATCTTCCATCCATCCATTTTCTGATCCGCTCACAAGCGTCGCGGGTCGTGCTGGAGCCTATCCAAAGCTGTCTTTGCAGGGGGACACCCTGATCTGGTTGCCAGCCAATCGCAGGGGACACATAGACGAACAACCATCCGCGCTCACACTCACACCTATGCACACATTAGTTTTGGGTGTCGCAACTTTTTTTGAGCAAAGATCTACTCTTGGATCAACCAACCCCCCACGATCGACCCGATACCACACCCGAGCGCATACACACTACGCACGCACTTACACACGCATGCCATGATGAGGAACAGCCATAACGACCCCTAAGATGAATGAAACTGAAAACTAAATTAGACACAAGAATTGAGTGGGTTTGTTAAAAGGAAATCACTGCCTACCTTTGTCGAGACCTTACGCGAAGGCATGGGGCGCACCTTTGCAGCGTGTTTACGATCGTAGCTCACATGGACCATTTTAAAATGCTTATCTTGGCCCTCCAGATTCCCATTCTTCCCATTCACAAAAAATGATAACTCACACCCTCACTTTGACCATTTTGCTTCCTGAAGACATCTAAAGTTATATTCACACCTGCACTGTTTGGTCCACTTTCAACATACCAGGGTTTGTTTTCCATGTTGGTCCGGACCTGTCAGACAGGTGTGAATACACACAAACAAATCCTGGTGTGCATCAAAGTTGTCTCAGTGCGCTTCCAAATGGACTTTGTGCAGTTCGCTACAGCTCTGAAAACAAATCCGCACCAAATGCAGGATACCAGCGACTTTTTGGGCTTACTGTGGCCCGGCCTCCTTGGAAATATTAGCCTGTAGTGAACATTGATCTTATATGATCATTCTTCTTTTGTATAACCGTGCCGCTGCCAGCATGTTGTCAGTGGAAGCACGCTGGCCACACACTCCTGCGGGTCACTGCACGCATTCGCCGACGTTGTTCCAAAATGCAGAAACGTTGAATCGTAAGGCCTGCCTTGAATGAGCTGGTCTTGACACTCCAAATTATATTGCAGCCCTAATAGCAGAACAAATATGCAAAGCAAGAATGCAGCACATAGGAATAGCACGTTTTCCTCAATTTACGGGTTTGCGCTTTGCTCTCGTCATTTCTGTCCAAGGGGCCCCCGGATCGTCACATGTGCCATGTGTTTACAGAATATACTTCACTTATAAAAAGTACAGTGTCAATACAAAAAAAAAAAAAAAAGGTCCGCTTTTCCTCCGGACCAAACGAGCGGACCTAAGGACTTTTCTGGTGTGACTACACTCTGTCAAACTGCAAAACAACTATTTTACTCCATAACGGAGAAAACCCATGACACGCTTTTGTAACACTGCTGCTTATTTTTATTCAAACTTTTTTGTTTTACAGAACTTTAAGCAGAATTTTTGATTCATCAGCACCATTCCAAATGAAATTTGAAGTGCAACTTTGTGCAAAAGTTTGAATGCAAGTTTGAAGCACGAAGCCTGTGCCTCAGTGACAGCAAAAATTGGGTTGTGATATGTTCCCTGACTTAAAGGCTTGCTCATCTTGACTTGGCTCCTAATGGAATGTCACTCAAAGGTATAATGAAGCATTTTCATGATCATGAGTCCAAAAAGATTGGATGAACAATTTAATAAGACTTGTCCAGGAGGTCTGATATACCGATTGGGCATACTGGGTTGAATCAGCATATTGCCAATAGAAAAGCAGTTGAAACCAAGCAAGACAGAAAGCAACTCGGTGTGCCAGTTTGAGTCTTGACGTGTGTCCAGACCTCATCCTCTTTTTCAACATGTCTCTTTTACTTTGCTGCCACCCACCACAACCTTGCTTTTCTTTCATTCTGTTGTTGACCAGATCGTTTGTGTGGATAAGATGGCCCTTAAGATGGCTAGTTAGCGTGCTGTGTACAGAGGGATTGGCCCTTTCCCCTGTATACATAAAAGCTGTATTCACTGGCCTCATTACCAGGATTAAGGCTCTTTTCCTCCTTTGTGGGGCTAGAGGCTGGAGTCCTCTGTAGCCAGACTTTGTCTCTTTTTGTGGCCTGTGCTGGCCAGCATATGGCAGCAGCAGCCAACAGTCTCTGCAGAGGGACTCAGAGCTCAGAGCAAGGCCTCCTTTTGTTTCGGCCGTTATTGTTGCTCAGCGCAATGACATTTGTAGGCCGTAGGATCGGGGTGGAGGGGTTAGTCTACCCCAAGGGAGAGGCAAGAGATGGAGAAAGAGATGGAGAGCGGTGCAAGGGAGGGGGCGAGGCAAAGACATGCAGACAGACAGGAGTGTGGATTATGGAAATATGGATTGATTTTTTTTTCCTGCTCTGTAGTAGAATAGAAAGCTCAAAGGAGAACAGACTGCAGGCTGGCTGGCACTCTGGGGTGTGCTGGGGAAACCTGACGTGAGAGGCACTTGCTCCCTCTTTCTCTTGCTCGCTATCCTTTTTCGTTTCCCCTCCTGCTCTCCTATCCCTCCCTGAGCTCCTAAGTCTCTTGATGTCTTGGTCATCTGCGGATGCTACTTGGTTATAGAGAGAGGAATGGGGATGTGAAAAGGAAAAAGGAGGAAAGGTATCTTTAAAATATATTTGAATCGGATTCGCAAGAGTTTTTCCCCCTTTTTTTCCCCAAATGAAGCAGACAGATGGAAATTCAACCATTGACTCTCAGATGTTATCCCAAAGTTGGGGTGGGGGTGTGATCTGCAGACTGAAGATGCACTTGCAGTCAAAGTAGCGCACATTCAGGAAAGCTAATTGTGGGTTTCCACAGTGTGGGGTGATGTCTCGAAGTCCCATTTATCAGTTCAGAAAAGAGAATGGTATTACTCAAAAGTTATTTTAAGAGCTGAACTGTGGTTGAGAAATATGGCTTTAAAATTTAACAATTTCTTCCCCCCGCAGTAGTCTGATTTGCAGAGTTTAATCATTTTTCCCCCTTTACACTTATAGAAAAAGTACTTGACAATGACGTTATTCAAAGCAAGTTTTGCTTTTTGTTGTCCCCCTTCTTTGATTTACTTCATCTGTCCTGATACCAAAAAACTGAAACACCTTGTATGTCTGGATGTGTGTATGGATGTGTGTACGTGTGTACAGTGCCGCGAAAAAGTATTCCCACCCGATTTCTTTGCACTTTGCATATTTATCACACACAAAGGTTTCACTTCATAAAACCAATTTTAATATCACACAGAGACTACCCAAGTAATACAAAATGCAGTTTCTAAATGACAATTTAATTTATTAATGTACAAAAAAAAAATAAAAATCCAAACCCGTCTGTCCTTTTGTGAAAAAGTAATGGCCCCCTGAACCTAATAATGGGTTGTGCCACCCTTGGCAAGACTAACTGAAATCAAGCGTTTGTGATACTGTAATTGGTGAGTCTTTCACATTGCTGTGGAGGAATTTTGGCCCACTCTTCTTCTTCGCAGAATTGCTTCAGCTCTGCCACATTTGGAGGGTTTTCTAGCATGAACTGTCTGTTCAATGTAACACAGCAGGAAAGTCCCTCGATTAACTACAGCAATAGCAGGAAGTTACACCATCTGATTTAATATGAAATAGGTAACCTTGATGCAATAATATTCCACAGGGAGTTTGTGCGGACTCATTGTGGTTGACAGTCAAGGCATGGTTGAAAACAGGGAAAAAGATGACGCTTCAGGATATACGTCACCTCTGTAAGACCAATGGATTTTCACAAGGACAAAGCGGACTTTCACCCCATCTTCAAAAAAAGGGGGCGGCGGCAGACAAGGAGCGATGTTTTGTCAAGCTTTAATGACATGCAGAAAATTCAAGATACTGTTATTTCTAATTTCTCATTATTTCAGTTTTTCTAATGCCATAACAGTTAAGTAAATTGAGATGAAATATGAAACGGACAAGAGAATTTAAAACCTCTTTGTCAGGCATAAACAGAACAGTGTATCTGCATGTATTTGTGTACTTGTAGGCGTACAATGTCAATGTGTCACAGGTTTTCGTCTTTCTCCTTCACTGCACCCTGACAGCAGTGTCAAACAAGGCCTCATATGATCTGTGTATGCCTTTGAGAATATGTGTGTGTTTCTACGTCTGGTTTGATAAGGTTTTTAT